CACACACACACACACACACACACACACACACACACACACACACACACCCATCTCCTCCCTTCTCTGCCTTTCGACTTAGTTTCCAGTTCTTTTCAACCACAGCTTTCCAGATCTCCTCTTTCAGTCCCAGCCCTGTCCTTGGCCTTATCACTCCCAAACCAGACCCCCTTTTACTAGCACCTTCTCCCACTACTCCTTTTCCTCTCTTCTAGGCTCAATAAAGTCCCTATTTCCACAAACCTTTAACTTCTCAGGGTTGCTCCTTCAGTGCCCTTGTCCTCAGGTTGTCATACAACTGCTTACCAATATCTCATCTGAATGGGATTCCACATCCCTAGGTCTCAACCTACTCAAGCAACGTGTGCCACCCCTAACCTTTGAGTCTAACCTGTACAGCTAAGACCCCTCACTTTCTGGGGTAAGGTAGCTCGGGTCTCGCCGGTACAGATGTGCTGTCCCCGCCCTACCCCCGGTCCGGCCCCACTTCTTCTTAACACACCATACCTCTCAGCTCCTAGTTCCAATGACTCTCCGTTCTATGGGTCTCCTCTGTACAGACGTGACTCTCTTGCCCACACATACTCAAAGAGACATTGAGTCCCCTTCTCGGGCCTCACCTATGGGGACGTGACCTCTATTATCTGTATGATTGTATGCCACCCCGCCCCCAGCCTCCCTAGTATGGAGGTGAGCCCCACTTTTCTCCCACTCCCGGATTCTCACCAGTACAGGTGGCCACACACACTGACCACAGCTTCGCGAGCAGTCTCCAGACATATATTACATTCGAAGGTCGCGCCCGCCCCGCCCCGCTCGCGGTTTGGCCCTTCGGGGCCCCCGTCCTCCTCCTCCGCTGCCGCCATGGACTGTTCTGCTTCGCCTTTACGTACCCCTTAATCCCCTCAAAAACACACACACACACACACGCACACACGCCCCAACAAGAAACCGCCTCCGGCCCACGATCTTTGGGCGGGCTTCAAAGTTTTCTAGGCACTATTGGCCTGAGTGCCCGCCAATCACACAGTTCAAAAGAAAGGATTGGTCCAAAGGTAGGGGTGAGGTTTGCGCAGTCCCGCCCTTGCACAATGATTATTGGCTGATACAGTCTCAGTCAGTATGCAATGCGACGGGATTGGTAACAACTCGATACGTCCGGTCGCCCGACCCGGGGGAGCTTTATTCGTCTGAGTAACTGCCAATCATAAGCAAAGGCCATAAGCAATTGGCTCGGGACTACACAGGCCTCGCCTACTACAAGTCCCCTTTCTTTCCTTCACTTCCCCTTTCAGAGAATGTCCGGATTCCTATTGGACTTTGGAGCTTAGGGCTCCAAAGCCCTTGATTGGCTGGAACTCGATGGAAAATGGTGGTTAAGGAAAGTGCGCATGAGCTGCAGGCGGCGGGAAGAGGTGGGCCAATCCTGTGAAGGTTAAGCCTTCTCTGGTCCCACCCCTTCACCTTAGCTTGTCGCCATGGTGACTGCTCTACGATTGGCGGGGTTTGAGGTTCAAAGACTTTGGCTCGGCCTCATCCGGGGCCTCCGGCTGTGGTCTCTCCAGGCTGATTGGGCCGTTTCTTTCACCTCTGATTGGCCGAGATCGGAAAAGACGGCGAAGAGCTCGGCAAGAGAGCAAGTACTAGGGTCTCAGGGTTCAAAATGGCTCCGGCCTCCTTCGGTGACGTAGAGAGCAGAGCTTGGCTTCGCCCCTCCCTTTTAGTGAAGAAGGGAGCAGAACTGGGATCAGCTCGACGTTTGGATTGTGCGAACGCATATTTGCGGAGCTGGTGTTAGCCCATCTCCCTCGGCTGGAGGACTCAGCCCGCTCCTCCTTAGGTGATTTGCAGAACAGAACTAAAGGCCCACACCTTTTTAATGTGACACAGTATGACAGAGTTAACCTCGACTCCCGTTTTAAACCTTAAAAGCAGGTTTTAAACCCTCTTTGTGAGTGGGTACCGAGGGGGCAAGGCACGCCCCTTTTCGGGCGACCCGAGGCGGAATGAGGTTAGGCCCGCCCCTTCCGTCCTATAATGTGTCCCGCAGAACTGGGGTCTTCCTCCAGGGTTGGACCCCTGGCACTTGGGCAAGGTGCTTCAGAGCTTGGGGGCATATTGTACGAGTTTGGGTCTTTTCTACAGTCAGTGACCCTCACTGTGGCCCAAGGAGCAGAACTAGGTAACAGCCTTCCCAGTCCCAGTGTTCTTTGCATCCTCTACCTCAGGGAGAGTAAATTCAAGCAGGGCGAAGGTGTGTCTGGCAGCGGGGACAGACACAGGCTGAGGGCAGTACAGCAACACCCAGATAAAAGGTCCCACGTGACTCAAGTGAGGCATGGTGAGAAGTTGGGAGTTCCCTAGAGGAGGGCGGGGGAGGTTAAAGTACCGGAGGCCTGTCAAGGTTCAGGGAAAAAGTTACAGAGAGGTGGAAACAAGGAGAGGAGTGATGGATGATCCTGGTAAAGGGATGTGGAAGTATGGGAAAGAGGAGATCGAGGGCTGGAGAGGGAACAGATACATGGCTACAAAATTAAGGAGGCATGCTCACCCCAGAGTAATCTAGCATTCTTTCTTTTTTTTTTTTTTTAAAGCAACCCTAATACCCAGTTTTCATTGGAAGAAAAGATGCACCCAGACTCTGTGTTGGGGAGGGAGGCTGTCTCACACCGCCTCAGTGACTAGGGAGACGGATAGGAAGGAACTAGAAAAGAAAAAGTACTGAGGTTAAATAAAGAGCATGGGAGGACAGGGGCAGGGAGAGGGCCTGAAAGTAAGTATCCCTTCTCTTTAAAGACCAGAGAGGCGTCTGGAAGAGGGAGCCGGGATGCTGGGAGCTAATGCGGGAAGGGGTGGGGAGAGCAAAGGTCAAAGAGAACCGGTAGAGAGCTGGAGGGCCAGGTGAGGTGAGATGGGGCCCTTGAGAGAAGACAGGTGAAGAACTCAGTGCTTGGCATTTAGTAGATGCTTGAAACTACCTGGAAATGAATGGGGGACAGGAAAGAGGTTTTTGGAGAAGAGTTGGAGGGAATAAACAGCGGATAAGGGAGTTAAGGAGAAAGGAAGAAACCCAGTGAAATTTCCAGGAAGAGGAGACCTGATGAAGAAGGAATGGGCAAAGGAAGGAATACAGCACCAAGGGACACACAAGCCGTGTGTGCTGAAAGGGAATTGGAGGAAAAAAAGGATGCAGCTGGAGCCAGAGAAGGCCAGAGGCGGAGGCAGAGCCCAGCGGGGCGCTCGCGGGGCGGAGCTACCAAGAGCCCACTGGTCGATGCGGCGAAAAGATGCGTGGGTCCCTGGGAGTCGATTGGCAAAACAGGCCGCCCATCACCGCCCTCTACTTCCTGGCCAGCCCCGGAAACCGGCAGGCGTTGGGGAGGGGTAGGGGGGGGGATAGCGGCAACAGCAGCCCCAGCCCTCAGAGAGACAGCAGGAAGGGAGGGAGGGAGGGAGCTGGGGGGACAACCCCCCCACCATTCCTACCGCAATGGGCCCAGCCTCCCACTCTCACCTCCCCTCCATCGGCCGGGGCTAGGACACCCCCAAATCCTGTCGCCCCCTTGGCACCGACACCCCGACCGAGGCAGAGACAGCCACCCGCCACCACCGCTGCCGCAGCCTGGCTGGGGAGGGGGCCAGCCCCCCGGGCCCCCCACCCCACTGAGGTGGGGGCGGGAATGGGATGGGAGGAGGCGGGAGGAGGGTGCCGAGAGGGACTTGGAGGAGGGGATGGGGGAGAGATTGGGTCTGGGAGGCGGACTGGGGAGAGGGTTGCTGGGGAAAGGAGAGGGGCCCTGAGAGGGAGGAAGGATGGAAGAGACACGGCGGAGACCCTGCGAATTTGGGATGGGGGTGTGGACAGGGCCCTGAAGAGGGAATTCCCGACACCTTCCCCAATTCCTTTTCCTGCCCTTTGGCCCCACATGACTCTTGGGGGGTTGTGGCCGGGAGAAGGCGGTTTATTGCCCTCCTTCCCCCAGCAGAATTTGCTTCCTAGGAATGCCCTCAGACACCTCTGTTTCCATCTAGGCACAGGACCTTTCTCAGTGGCCATCCACACTGGGCTAGATCCTTACTGACACACAGATGCTTTGTGGGGGGCCATGTTTTCTACACTGAATCTGTGTGCCTTTGACATGTTTAATGGCTTATGTGCGGCTAGCTTTTCCCTATGCTATCCATGGACTGTGGAGAGATGATGTGTTATTTTCCATCAGAATTGCCCATTCTCGTATCTTATGTCCATATCTCATGTCCAGTCTTGACATTGTTGAAATGTGTGAGTTTTTATATATTGCATCTATTATGTGGTTTCATGTTTCTTGCACATTTTATGCTTTTGCGTGTTTACTTTTTGCGTGTAAAGGTTATACCTTCCTTGTTTTGGTTCGTATGTTATGTCCATGATCCTGTCGTATGCAAGTCTTCATGTGTGGTATCCTGTGGTTTAGTTCACTAGTGCACACTCATGATGTGATCGGATTGGCCTGTTTGCTGCATGTTTTCCCAGTCACGGTTTACACCGCACATACACATGCTCCTTCGCATGATACGCTGATGTGACATGACCGCAGCATGTGTGCTTCTGGTTACACATTCTATTTATTTAATAATTTTATTGACAGTATATTTTGTGAGTCATATGCCCATTAACCCATATGGCACTTCACAGTGCTTATAAATCTTCTGACATTTCTGCTCCGGAGAGGGTCACTTAATGTCATGTACTAGAGAGAAAGGTAACTGGGCCTCCATGTCCCCAGAGAACCATTCCCATATGCCTTACCTTGCTGACCTTCCTGGTCTATGTCTTTTCACATACATTATCTCTCTCGTGGCTGTGTACAGTCTGTGTTCATGGAGCTCAATGCATGCCTCAGGTCAACCCTGCTGTGCACATTATCTGTCCCTCACTCTTTTTGCACTGTTGGCATGTATTTGATGACAGCAGCATCTTTCCCTGGTGGCATGTTAATCCCCATTCTGTATGTTTCTCTTTTGTGTGAGATGGGATGTACCATCTTGATTGTTGTTGCCTCCCTCAGTGTGACCATATAGTGTATGTGTATATTCACAGTAGGTTACCGTTAGGCTTTTTGTTGTATTCATTGCTTTATTGATGACTTTTCTTTTCATAGTTAATAGTCCTCAAGAGTGTAGCTATCTGATTCATGATTGGCTCTGTCATTAATTATGACAGGCTGTGTACACAGCCTTATAATCTGTTCAGCATGTTTATTGAGCACTATCTCCTCCTTCTGTCCTGGGTATTGGGGAAATGACAGAGTTCCTGCCCTCAGGCTGCTTACAGACTGGGGAAGGAAACAAAAATGAGCAGTTACTTACACTGTGGTGTCAAGATCAGTGGTTCTCAAACTGATGTGCACATCAGACTCACTTGGAGGGCTGTCCCTCACTTGGGGGAGTTAAAATACCTGTTCTTGGGCCTAAGGCCCAGAATTTGATTCAGGAGATCTGGGGTGAGGTCCAAGAATATGTATTTCTACACTTTGAGAACCAGTGATCAAGATAAAAGTGTAATGAAAACTCAGGCCAGGAGGGGTTCAAGAAGACTTCCAAAGTGTGACGCTGAGCTGGGTCAGGCAAGTGAAAGGCAGAAGGGCATTCCAGCCAAAGGGACCAGCCTGTTCACAGCACAGAAGCATGAAAGATCATGGTGTGTCTGAAGAACTGAAGTAAATCAATTTGGAGCAAAAAGGACTCTTGTGGGCATGTGGCCAAAGATGTAAGCAGAAGTCAACTTGTCGAAAGGGCCTTTTAGAAGACGGAGGAATGCTCAGATTTGTGTTACAGAAAAATCTCTGTGGTTGCCATGTGGATGACGAATTGGAGGAGCAGAGTTAGGAACCTGTCGCAAATAGTCCAGGGGAGAGAAATGCTGGTCCAGACTTACAAGGGCAGTGGGATAGAGCAAATCAAGGCCTACAGCTTTAGAGTTGGCAGAGTCTCCTGTTTCCTCTATTGCTTCTGAACCTTCACTGGTTGGCAATGGCCTTTACCTTCGAACACAGTCCTTCCTGTCATTAGAAGACAGTGACTGTAGCCTTGCTGAAAGTGACAGGTATTTGCCTGAACACCTTTTCGTGACTTGTGACCCTGCCCCCAGCAGTAGGACAGAGTGGAGGAAGGAGGAAGAACCTAAAAGGCAGGTTCTGTGTGCCTGCACCTCTTCCTCCTCAACTCTTTCCTCTCCCAGGGCAGATGGTGTGAGTCGCTTTTACTCTCTCCCCTCTTTCTTTCATTGGTCAGGCCTTAACATATTATATACCTGCCTGACCAGGTCGCCTCCGGTGTCCCTGGAAGGGAAAGAAGGAGGAGTAAGGGTTTGTTTGCCTGCCTGCGGAGGCAGGATTGATAGAGGCAGCAACTCCTGGTATGTCCATGGGTTTATCTGGAAACAGGAAGGGGAGGGAGGTTGGACACCTTGGTGGAGAGGGATTTTTCTAGTTATGCATTTACTTTCCTTTATCTGTTACTGGGTGTGATTGTAAGTTTGCATGTGTGTGTCAGTGGGTCAGTCTTCGTATGACTGTGTGTTTGTGTTTTTGTTAGTGACAGAGCCTTTATTCTTGCCAGTCTGCCCTTGAGAATGTCTGTGGGTGTTTTGTGCCTTTCACTGTATTTGCTGTCTGCTGTGTGTCCACCTGTGTGCATACATACTGGCCGCAGCATAACTGTGGTTAGGAACACAAGCCACTTAGGTTTCAACTAGGAAGTGCCTCTTAGGAGCCATATCACCACAGGTAAGTTCTTTAACCTCTCTGGGCCTATCTCCGAAAAATGTAAATTATGTGGTTCATATTTAAGGTTAACCTAGTCTGTAGATCAACCCTAATCCAACAGATATATAATAAAAGCCACGGTGTAATTTTTAATTTTCTGGAAGATACATTAAAACATAAAAAGTAACAAGGTGGAATTAATTTTAATAATATATTCTATTGAATTCAGTATCCAGAAAGGTTGATTTCAAAATGTAATCAATACAAAAGATTATTAATGGGATATTTGACATTCTGTTTTTCATTCAAAGTCTGAGATCTGATACATATTTTACACTTCCAGCACAATTCAGTTCAAACTAGGCCACATTTCCAGTGCTCAGTAGCCATATGTGGCTGGTGGCTACTGTATTAGACAGGTATAGACCATCCTAAGACCCTTACCAGCTACAAGTGTTTGTTATTGTTATTGTTGTCCTATTATCACATGTCTGTGAGTTGTGGGTGTTCATGTGTCATGTCTCTTGTCTTTGTGAATATTTCTGGAGGCTTCTGAGAGAGGGCTGGGTGAGCAGTCCCGAGCTCCTGTTCCCACCACCCCCATCCTAGAGAGGCTGGCTGGGCAGGTTTTGATGGGAGCCCTGACCCCATCCTGTGTCTCTGGCCCTTGTCCTCCTAGCTCCCCAAACCGTGCCTTCTGTGCCTTGCCCGTCCCACTCCCCTCCAGGAACGAGGCCCACTGTCTCTTGCCTGTCCCCTGCAGGTGGCCAGAATGGAGTTGTGGCCGGGGATCTGGCCTGTGCTGCTGCTGCTCTTCCTGCTGCCCACCCTGTGGTTCTGCAGCCCCAGTGCCAAATACTTCTTCAAGATGGCCTTCTACAATGGCTGGATCCTCTTCCTGGCGGTGCTCGCCATCCCTGTGTGTGCTGTGCGAGGACGCAACGTTGAGAACATGAAGTGAGGGCCAAGGGGTTTTGGGTGATGAGAGAACCTAAGAGTCCGAAGTGAGCAGTGGGTGGGGAGGTTGTGGGATGTGTAAGGAAGATGGAGAGGGCCCAGGGACAAGGAAGGAGAGAGAACTGCAGATGCCCAGAAAGGCAGTGGCGGGGGGCGGGTGAGGCGTGCTGATGGACATCAGTGGGTCCTGCTGGAACCCCTTGCCGTGACCCCACAGGATCTTGCGTCTGATGCTGCTCCACATCAAATACCTGTATGGGATCCGAGTGGAGGTGCGTGGGGCCCACCACTTCCCTCCCTCACAGCCCTACGTCGTGGTCTCCAACCACCAGAGCTCACTCGACCTGCTTGGTGAGACCCCTGGTAGGGCATACCTCCCCCAGTTATGCCCTTCCCCTTTCCCCAGAATCTCTTCCGCTAGGGGTCCGCAACTCCCCTTCGTCTGGACATTGCTCCCGTTCCCTTTCCCCCAGTCCTTCTTACCCTCATAAGTAGGCTAATATGTACTTAATCACCCCATCCTCCTCAGGGCTTCCCGCCCCCTCTCCCCCATCTCCGTCCTTAAGAATGTGGGGGATGGCCTGTTTCCCATGACACTTTACCTCTACCCTGATCTTCACTCCCACCCCCGACCTTTGCCTTAGGGATGATGGAGGTACTGCCAGGCCGCTGTGTGCCCATTGCCAAGCGTGAGCTGCTGTGGGCTGGCTCTGCTGGACTGGCCTGCTGGCTGGCAGGAGTCATCTTCATCGACCGGAAGCGCACTGGGGATGCCATCAGTGTCATGTCTGAAGTTGCCCAGACCCTGCTCACCCAGGACGTGAGTCCCCTGTGGCAAAGGGGGGTGGCAACACTGGGGAGTAGAGCAGGGCCAGCAGCCCTCAAAGGTCCATTACAGCCTCATGACCGTTTTCGGACCCCTCTGTGTATGTCTTCTTGACCTCTGTCTTCCTCAGGTGCGGGTCTGGGTTTTTCCAGAGGGCACGAGAAACCACAATGGCTCCATGCTGCCCTTCAAACGTGGCGCCTTCCACCTTGCAGTACAGGCCCAGGTAATTACTATTTCCCCCTCTGCTACTGAGCCCCCAGCTTCCACCGTTCTTTTCTTTCTTGGCAGAGGTTTGTCATGGGGGCCTTGGAAGGGAACTGTGGGCTGTTTGCTTTTCCCTTCCCCAGGTTCCCATTGTCCCCATAGTCATGTCCTCCTATCAAGACTTCTATTGCAAGAAGGAGCGTCGCTTCACTTCGGGTGAGGGCTCTGAGTAGATCTGGGGCTGGGGGTGGCTAGAAAGGCCATGGGAGAGAGAGGGTAGACATCCCCATGAGACAGGAGGATTGGTCAGTGTCAGAACTGAGATGTCCAAAGGATCATCCAGTGACCCCACATCAACTAATAAATATTTATTAAGCGCCCACCATACCCTGCTACATGGGTAACACTTGATCCCTCCAACAGGGGCCATTACTGCCCAGAGGGAAAGATAAGACCTGTGTGTGCAAAGCTGTAATAACACTTGGCAGTGAAAGTTAATCCTAGATGATGGGGGCTGGAAGGGTGCTAAGGAGGTGTCCGGACTGGGAAGGCTTTGTGCAAGAGGGCCTTAAAACAGATAGCAGCTGGCAAGCAGAGGGGCAATTGTCCAGGGTAGGGGGAAAAGAACTGAAAGGTTGGGGAGGGAGTAACAGGAGAGCTCAGGAACTGGGCCCTGCCTGTAAGCAAAGGCCTAGGTAGACAGCCCTTGATGGTGCTCACCCCCTCCCAGGGCGATGTCAGGTACGGGTGCTGCCCCCGGTGCCCACAGAAGGGCTGACACCAGATGACGTCCCAGCTCTGGCTGACAGAGTCCGGCACTCCATGCTCACCGTTTTCCGGGAAATCTCCACTGATGGCCGGGGCGGTGGTGACTGTCTGAAGAAGCCTGGAGGGGTGGGCGACGCCCGGCTCTGAGCTCCCTTCCCATCTACCCCCGTGTTCCTCCCACACCTACCAACCCAGTGGGCCCTGAAGCAGGGCCAAGCCCACTTCCTTGTTTCTCCTCTACCCACTGTTCTCCTCTTTGGAATCTTCAATTTCTGAAGTGAATGTGGATATAGCACCGCTCCTTGCCCCTTCCCAGCTCCCCCCATGGACTCTCTTGCCTCGGTGCAGTCTCCACTCTGACCCCCACCCACCTCCTGTGCCATCTTGTCTTTGGGACGGTTGCCTCCCCCTCATCTCCAGTGGCTCACCTGCACAAGGGTGGGAACACACCATCCTTTCCCCAGGGGACCCTCTTCTTTTGTGATCTTCTCTCCCTCTCCACCCCACATTGGCCAGTGGACTCATCCATTCTATGGAACAATACCCTACCACAAGTCCATGGATTCAGTGGACTTATCCGTTTGTGAGGACTCCTCACACTGTGGCTAGAAGCAATGCCTGGAACATTCCTGGCTTATCCTGGGAACACTCCTCAGCACCCTCACCCTCCCTCCCATGGAGCCTCCTATCAGTGGAGGCTGGACTCTTCTCACTCAGAGGTTTCATCCTGCCCATACCCAGGTGCCCAGGGGTGAGCATACTCCTAGATGCCAGTTTGGTCTCCACATTTCTGCTTCCCCCCATCCCTGTGGTACAGTTCTTCAGTGGTCCTGGCCCCAACCCAGTCCCCTGCAGCCCGGCTGTACCATTCTAACCAGACACAAGGGGAAGAGGCAGACATTAGGTGCTGCACTCACTTCTGCTCCCTGGGAAGTTGGGGAAAGGAACTGAACCCTGGCTGGAGGGGATGGGAGGGCTTTTAATTTATTTCTCTTTCTTTTGAGGCTTCCCCTCTCTGAGCCAGTTTTCATTTCCTCCCTGTGGCATTAGCCACTCCTGCCTCCCACCCCAGACCTGTGCCCACAACTGGGAAGGTGGGCTGGGAGCAAAAAGAGAGGGTGGGACCCAGTTTTGTGTGGTTTTTATTAATTATCTGGATAACAGCAAGAAACCCGAGAATAAAGATTGAGAGAGAGAGAGAGAGAGATCTGGGCACTTTCTGGCTGCATTTGTTAAGGCACAGAAGTGGTTCTTGCCTAGGCCACCTCCCCCAGCCAGAAGACTCAGGGGTGGGCCCAAGGCACCCATCTTTCCCCCTTCCTTCAGCTCTCGTAAGTTTCCGTCACTCATTGCTCCTTAGTGGCAGATAACCTTATCTTCGCTTCCCCAGCTGGCCAATCCCAGAGGATTAGTGGGGCCAGTTTCTGTATAAATTACGGGGCAGGGGCTCTGGAGGGGTTCCTTATTGGCCGCCGATTGAGATTGAGGCCTGGGCCCAGGCTGTTGTCCTCACAGGAGCCTGGTGAATGACAAGGAGGCAGACACATTGGCTGTGGACTTCTGGGGCTGCCAGGGCACTGGAGACACTCTCACCCAGCAATAAGTGGACTGGGGACAGGGTACCAGAAGAAGGGGTGAAATATGGGTATCTGAGGACAGTATGCGGAGACTGAGTGTTGGGGAAGGGTTTGGGGAAAAGAGAAAAATGAACCAGGGAAGGGTGTCCGGGAGAGCTGGGGGCAGCTAATGGGGATGGGGATTCAAGCAGAGAAGGGCATGAGGACTTACAGGCACCTAGCCTCTCCTCCAGCAGCAGCACTTGGTCGCTGAGAGACTCGATCCTGTCGCCGCGGCCCCATAGCTCTGCCACCTGTTCTGGCTGTAGCTCTTCAGGTGGCATGGGCAGCATGGCTCGGACCCAGGCCCCGGCCTGACCTGCCCACTACAAAGGAAGAGACGCTTCAGAGTGTTGGGGGTGGAGCACACCCTGCCAAGAGGGGTTGGACCCAGGCACCAACATTCACCTGCTCCAGCCGCTCCAGGCGCCCTTGAAGCTCCCAAATCTCCTGTCTCAGGGCATGCTCATCTTGTTCTGCTTCCCGAACTGGGACAAAAGAGGGCATGACCCACTGCCCAGTTGAGTGCAGGCCCTCACTGCCACCCATGCTCCCACTCACCTGCCACACTGAGGATGTTGGCACCAGTTGGGGGCTCCGGGGCGCCCTCTGTGCAGGTGCGCCTGTCCAGACCCAGCACCAGGCCTTGAGGACAGCCACAAGTGAAGCTGCCTGCGGTATTGAGGCAACGGTGCGAGCAGAGGGCAACACCAGTCCTACATTCATCCACGTCTAATTATGGGAGAGAAGATGGGGGCTGAAGGGTGGGGGCGAGCTGGCACCCCAAAGGTATGAGGTCCTGGTGCCACCGTATGGGGGTGCAGGGCGAGCTGACTCACCCACATGACAGTGCTTCCCACCCCAGCCTGGAGCGCACTCGCACTGCTCTGGCCTAACGCAGACGCCTCGGTTCTGACACGGCTTGGCACAAATGGCTGTGGGCACAGAAGGGTGGTTCAAAACCAGACCCACTGCCTGCCTCCCCAGCCCTGCGGGGCACCCTGACCCCAGGCCTGGGAAGACCCAGTCTCACCATCACAGGTGAGGGCCCCTGGATGCCGCTTCTTCCAGCCCTGGCAGCACACGACGTGGGTCTGCGGCACCTCCCTCCTCACCTCCCTCCACGCCACACGGTATGTGGTCCTGGAACATAGACCCGGCTCTGAACATTGCTTTATGGGTTTTGGTCTGGGTTCTTGAATTTCTTCTTGAAAGACTCCAGAGTCCAGCCTCCCTATCCCTCACCTGTAGGTGCTGCAGATGCGTCTTCCATCACACACGGTCAGGTAGGGCTTATACACTGGTTGGCTGTAGGACTCGTTGTAATGGAGGGGGACCACGAGCATCTGCCTGGAGCAGACCCCCTGGCTGCACCCATGCCAGAGAAGGTAAGACACATTCAGTGACCTGGGAGCGGTCAGGAGTCCCATTTCCCTTAAGTCTCCACTGAGGCCCTGCCCTCCCTGGAGGTGACCACCTCACCCCCATTCTAAACTTCATGGTTTTGTCACCTGTTGACGCCCCACCCCCAGCAGGTTTTCTGAAGACCTCACCCCTGGACCCGCCCCCCTTTCATCACCTCTCTTTGAGGGATCCACCCTTGGCCCCCTGGACTGACATCAGTAGCAGGAGGAATGAGAGTCCGCCTAAGAGACTGCACGGTTCATCCCTGGACCTCATGATTCTCCTTGACTCCAAACTGCAGGCAAGAAGAGGTTAATGGAGGCCATTCCCCTCTCCCATAACTTTTCCAGCTCCAGCCCCTCCAAAAGCAGTCTGCTAGTGCCCTCTAAGGGAGTTAGTACGTTCACTTGTACACATTTGCACTAGCCACCAGGATTGTCTACACCTGCGTGTACATTTAACACGACCCCTTCATCCAGCACAGCATGGTCCAAGCATGCATCATGCAGTTGCACACCCCAGCACACTCCCTCCATCTTCTGTACACACACACTCTGCCCATAACCTTCCTATCTGTAACAAACCCTCTTCTATCTTAATTTTTCTACCTTCAAAGTCTCAGATATTCACCATTACACCCCCTCACACCCTGCACACAAACCCATGCACCTGGAAACTGCACCTTAAACACATTCCTACTACCGCACATACCCACACCCTCACTCCTACCACACTCCCCAACTCACACTCACGCTAAGGCTCATTCCCCGTTGACACTGTCTCCCCACCTGTCTTTCCCTCTCTCCCGGAGACTTCCAGCAGACCAGCCTCAGCAACAGCAGCTCAGACTGGTGGGCGGGTTGGGCAGGCTGGAAAGGAGAGGAGGGGCTGGGCCAGACAGAATCCTCCCATCCCTGCCCCCTCCCACAAGCCTCCTTCACAGCTCCTGCTTGATCAGCTCCATGGGGTCTAAGTCCCACTACCTTCACCACCACCCCAGCAAAGGGCCCCCTAGAAGTAAATTCCAAACTCTTCGAACCCCCTTATTTCTGGACTCCCCAGATCAGCAGAGGCTACCAGCTCTGTAACACCACCAGTACCCCTGGCTCTTGACACACCCCTCAACCCAACACAGACTCGGGGAGAACTGAGGAACAGGGAGAGAGAGCTGGCAGAGAAAAGCAGGGTCAGGTCATGGGAGAAGAGGCAAGATTCAATGAGGAAAGAAGGGAGGGCAAATCGTCACAAAGGGACAAGGGGGGTGGGTGGGAAGCCCATGGCACTAAGGGGAAATTGCCCCCATTTGATGATGACATTTGTTAGGGCCTGGGGGTGGGGGGCAGAGTTGAGTCAGCCACCGCCCCCCATACCAGAGCAGACAGGGCCCTATTGTCTCCACCAAAATTCCTTCTTTTGAGGAAGAGGAGGCTCATTGTCCAGCCCCTCACCCAACTCAGGCCTACAAAGGTCGAAAAGGGGTGCAACAAATGCCCACCCTGACCCTTAGCCCCCTCGTCTAGCCTGGGGGTGGCAGACACATTCCACCCATGAGGCTAGGGCACAAACCACTGAAGCCCTGGGCTCAGCCCCCCAGGCTTAGGCTGGAACAGGAAGAGAATTGTCCTCTGCAGGAAAGAACCCACAGAGAATCAGGAACCCACACAGAATGGGCATTTAGAGAGCGGAAACACCAAGGGGGTCCCACCCCACACCAGGCATCCGGGCACCCAGACCTCAGGCTCTCCATCCCCACCCTCCTTGGGGAGCCAGGTCCCCCTCACCTGGAAAGGAGCCAAACCACACTGAGGAAATGGACTTTTATTTCCATAAATACAGGGTTAACACCCATTCAATGGTAGCTAAAAGGGGCTGGGGCCTCAAAGACACTAGGCTCCCAGGGGGTACCCCAACACTGAACAGAGGGACTGGGGGATCCCCAAACCTGAGATGGGCCTCACAGGCCATAGATATTCCCCAACACTGACATTTCAAGAACGGACTGTCCCCATAGGGGAGCCTCAGAACCCCACTCTCATGGGTAGTCCTTCCTGGGAGTTGGGAGGGCTGAGAAAAAGGGAAAAGGGAACATGGGGAGAACAGGAGCTAAAAATGTCCTGAGTGGCCTAGAAGGAGACCCCTGTAGTGGGCAGGGGCTGGGTTCTCCTATACAGCCAGAGACAGAGCAGCCACAGCAGCAGGAGCAGCCACGAGATAAAAACCTGGTTTCTCTCTTCCCGACCTCGGCCTTGGCCTCGGGAGAGTGAGAGAGCATGGAGCAAACCCCAAACATGAGGTGGGAGGAGACCAGGATTTGTCATCTACAGAGGAGCACAGGAAGGGAGTCCTGGGAGCCCTGGTTGGTGGGGGCAGTGTGGGAGCAATGGGGTGGTTGCAGGCACACCGGAGCTGACATCTGCTTTCCAAGGCCACCGCTTGGTCTCTGGGCTGGGAAGTTCCTGAGGGATCCCTGAGGACATCCTCAGGAGAGCCAAGGTTCAATGCAGGTCTCATAAAGGGTACGGTTGGAGTGCCAGGCCGTATGGGAGATCCCAGCCATCGGACACCTCACTATGGCTCCCCGAGCCAAGAGAGTCTTCAACCCAAAAGAATCCCGCAGATAAACCTTCAAGGTGGGCAAAGAGTCATAAAAGGAGAAACAAAGTGAGCTCCTCCTGGTGTCCCAGGTCCCCTCCCCACAGGGTGAACCGTTCAGCTCAAGGGGTCAGTGGCAGGGAGGGCTACAGACTGAGGTGGGGCTGTGCCAGAAGAAAGGGGAAGTCATCCCAGGGGCTCACCGGTTGCTCCTCCATCTCCAAGACCGTCTCATTTGCATCATAGAAACCAAAGAAGCTACAAAAGAGATTGAGGGCGGGTAGGGGAGGAGGTTATCAGGAGAGCGGGAGAAAATCAAGGTAGGCTAGGGGAGGGACCTCAGGAATTCATGGCCTATTGGGAGATAGGCAGCAAGGAAGACACTCACAATATTCAAGTGGATATCATGTACCTCAAAAGATGACACAGAGGCTACAGCGTTGCTTCTACAGAGTCCCATCAAAAATGCAAACCTGAATCTAATCATGAGGAAACAGCCAACAAACCCAAACTGAGGGACATTCTACAAAATAGTTCAAAAATATCAATGTAATGGACAAAGACAGAGGAAATATCCCAGGGGGGAAAAAAAAGAGAGACTAAAGAGACACGGACAAGTAAATGCAACACATGATCCCAGGTTAGATCTTGCACTGCATTTTTTTTCCCCTATGAGGACAACTGGAAAATATTTGAATAAGGTCTATAGAGTATCTTATTGATGTTAACTTCCTGACTTCGATAATTATATTGTGGATATGTAAAGAGAAGTCCTGTATACACAAAACAGACACTGACACACTGAAGTTTTAGGAGTAAAGAGACATTATGTCTACAACCTACTCTCAAATGGTTCACAAACACACCTATACCCCCGTATACATATTTAGAGGGAAGAAAGAATGAGGACATAAACATGGCAAAATGGTAACCTTTAGAAAATCTAGGTGAAGAGTACACACAATTGTTTTGTAATACTTAAGCAACTTATTAAGTATGAAGTTATTTCAAAATAAAAAGGTCTTAAAATTTTGAAAAGTAATATTTAATTGGCATGGGCAGTGAGTGGGCACTGACCATGAACAACAAACGTTAATAGTGCTAAGTCCAAGGGACAATGGGAACAAAAAAAGACCACCCCGCTGGTTTTAGAGCACCAACAAAGCCTTCCCAGTGAGGTACTCTCCACTAGGGAATGCTGATCCCCCAGCAAACAGAAGAGCAGGAGCAAAGGTACAGAGGTGAGGCCCAGCTGGGCACATGGGGGAGCTGGGTTGCGGGCCTGAAGACCACATGGAGGGGCTGGATTTCATCAGGTATAGGAGAGCAGTAGGGGCACACAGACCTGGATGTGAACTCCAGCTCTGCCACACACTCCCAAATGTATGTGGTTGAGCATATTACTTATCCTCTTTGTCCTATTTAAGAATACTTCCTTTTCAGAGAGGAAGTGAAACACCCTGGTTAAGTTAGATAGCCTGACTTCACCAGTTACTAACTCTATGAATGGAGACAAGTTATTTAAGCTCCTTGCACCTAAGTTTCCTTACATGTTAAATGAGGATAATAGTAATTACCATGAACCCTGTCTCCTTATATGTCAAAGGAGGATTAAAGGAGATTTATTTGAAAAGTACTTAGAATTGTGCCTTGGGACATAAAAGGTACTATATAACTGTGAGCTATTACAATCTTCAGAGGGTCATAGATGTAAAATGAGATAGAATAAATCCCAACCCTTGCTATTATAAGGAACATGACTCCTTCACTTAAAACCCTCCAATGCCTTTTTCATCTCACTCAGATTAAAAAATCAAGGGCCATGGTTGCCAGGAGCTGGGGGGAGGCAGGGATGGGGAGTTCTTGTTTAATGGCTATGGAGTTTCAGTTTGGGAAGAAAAAAAAAGTTCTGAATATGGATGGTGGTGATGGTTACACAAGAATGCCAATGTGCTTCATTGCCGCTGCACTGCACACTTAAAATGGTAAATTTTATGTTCTGTATATTTTAGGAAAAAACAAAAATAAAAAACAAGGGCCTTACTTTGCCCTACAAAGGGTCAATATTTCTGGCTCCCTGCTACCTCTTTCATCTCCTCTCCCACCCTCTTCCCAGCTCCCTGGGCTCTAGCCACACTGGCGACCCTATTCCTCACACCAGCCCCAGGACCTCTGTAGGTGCCACTCCTTTCCCCCCCCCCCCCCAGATTGTTGCACAGCTTCTTCCCTCACTTCCTTAAGTTTCTACTCCCATGACAAGTCTTCCAGGACTTATCTGGCCACTATCTGACATAGGGTCCAGTCACCCTCTAATCCCTTCCCCTGCCTGTCTCATCACCACCTGACATACATATTTGCATCTATTTTTCTGTCTCCCACACTAGACATTAAACTACGTAAGAGTGGGGACTTCTCTTTCATTTACCGCTGCATCCCAATGGCCCAGAACAGGGCCTGGGCATATATACAGTGCTCAATAAATATTTGTTGAATGACTAAAGGAGCTTAGGTGACATTTCAGATCACTCATGATGAATTGCAGCAGAGGCCCACACATAGCACAATGGAGCCATAGATTTTCCTGAGGAATCGGATGGAGGAGATAAGGCTGGAGGCTATTACAAAAGTCCAGGTATATAAAAGAGGTGGAAGGAAACGTGGCATGGAATTATACACACACATCCTACCAATGACGATTTCCTGGTTTTGATACTGTGCTGTAGTTACATAGGATGCAATCACTGGGGGAACCGGGCAAAAGATACCTATGTAGGACCTCTCTAAACTATCTTTGCAACTTCCTATGAATCTGTAATTATTTCAAAGTTAAAAGTTTTTACAAAGCAGGGGTTTAGGGATGGAGGGGAAGTAGAGTCTAGTATGGGCTAGATACAAGGCATTGAGGAATGACTCCCAGGTTTTGTTGTTGAGTGACAGGATATATGGAGGATGGGAGCATTAGCTGACCAGTGGGAGGTACAGGCCAGTTTCAGGCAGGAGATTAATTGTTGGGGGCTAAGGGGTATCCTTAGCCAATCTTCGGGCCACACAGTCCCATATTACCTGGACTGCCAGGGGGTAATAACACCATCATCAGGGCCCCCAATCAGCACCAGGCGGCCCACACGAAGAAAGTTCTTCCTCCATGCTGAAGGGTGGGAAGAAAAGAGCCTGAGTCAGTCACAGGGGTCAGGCCAGGTTGGAGAGGGAAACACAGGGGGTTGGAGAAGCAGAAAACGGGACCCAGGCAGGAGCCTGGAGTCTCACCAGTGGCATTGGGATGATCTCTTTCCCCATTGATCAGGGCCAGAAAGCTGCTGGCGTTGAGGTACAAGTCATCATGGTGGGGGTCTAGGTACAAACAGCAGTTAGAAAGAGAAGCAGGGAAAAGAAGCAAGATCAGAGTCTGAAAAAACGACCAGGAGACTACAATAGCAGGTAAGGTGAATAGTATCAACAATAATAATAATTGTAAACACGATACCAAACACCTTTGTCCAGCACTTACTATGCCAGATACTGTTCAAAGTACATTACATTTGTTAATTTATTCAATCTTCACAACCACCTATAGGGTAGATACTAGATTATTATTTTACAGATAAGGAAAACAGCCACAGTAAGGTTAAGTAACTTGTCCACAGTCACCCGACAGGGTCAAGCTTCAAACACAAGTAGTCTGGACCCAGCATCCGTGGTCTTAAAAACTACACTAGGTGTTTGCAAACTATGGACCATGGGCCAAACCCAGCCCACTGCTTTCCTGTATAAATAAAGTTTTTTGGAACACAGATACATGCATTTACATATGGTGTATGGTTGCTTTCAAACTACTGTGGCAGAATTGTATTTGCGACAGAGACCATATGGCCTGCAAAACCAAAAATATGTACTATCTGGCTTGTGATCTCTGCACCAGACTATACTCTGAGGTGATAAGGTAACACACATAAAGCATTCTGAACAGCGACTGTTCACACAGTAAGTGCTCATTACATGAAGTTATCTTCATCATCACTGCTGTTGGTTATGGTACAGGTGGGAGCAGCCGGCCCTACCCTCCAGGGTGCCCTCTCATGGAGTCCCGTTTGGCATCCCCTACTCACCGTGCCAGTAGTTGCAGATGGAGAATTCCTGGCCCCAGGGGCTATAGCAGATCCGATAGAGGTTAGACCTCATGGAGGTAGGGAAGAGCCACTTCAAATAGTCTGTATCTGGCAAGAGAACAGCAGTATCAAGTGGCCCCAAACCTTTGTGTCCTCAAAACTCGGGGCCCCCTTTGACCTTACGATCCCCGCTCACCTCCATACTGTCCCATTTGTGGAGAGGAGAGAGAGATGAAAGAATCCACATTGTGCTCATCCATGACAGAGAGCAGTGCCCGGCACACCAGGCCCCCTGGAGGCAGAACACCACATTGGACAGGGACTCAGGGACAGCCAGGCCAACAGCCTCTCCACTAGGCACCCCCCTCCACCCACCACAATGTACATAAGGAGACTGAGGCCCAGAGAAAACAGGCACACCCTGTGGCAAAAGGCTATATACATCATGTAAGTGACAGAGCCAGATTAGATTCTGGGTCTTCTGACTCTAACTGTAGGGTGTTTTTTACTTCCCCATTATCCCTTATTTCCAAGAACCATGGGTAATGGCAAAAGGGGACAGCAGTGCAGGGAGCCTCCCTCCCACTCAGGACACAGAGATAAGACCCAAGTGCTGAAGGAAGTCAGAAAAGTAGGGCTCAGGTACCAGGGCTGGAAGAATGTGGTTCAGAAAAGGGGACACTAGAATGTGTCCCTCAGATAAAGATCAAGCCTCAGAGAGGGCTTAGGAGTTGGGAGGGGGAAGGCGCCTACCCTGCGAGTAGCAGATGAGATGCACCCCTTGAGGGGCCTTTGCCATGATGGGGGCCACAGCCTCTCCGAACCCTTGCACCTGTTCCCACAAGGGTCGCAAGCTCTCTCTCCCATCGAAGAGATCGAGCACTGTCACCACAGTCCCGGGGTGTGTCTGTGGGAAGGGGGCAATGCTGCAACAGGGGATGGACTGTAGAGCCCCTCCACACCGCCCCCCTGGGCCGTGTCCACATGCCTAATTGTGCCCTGCTAGAACCAGGGATCTCATCCCCCGATCTCCCAACGCCAGCACCAGCTCCTCCAGGAACTGAGCAGGCCCAGAATGGCAACTTTAGGTTCCCCATTCTCTTTCCCCAGCCACTACAGACGCCTCCAACGCCCCACAACAGGGTGTCCCCTACCAGACCTCGTTGATATATTCCAGCAGGTGGCGGAAGCTGTACGAGCTGTCAAAGAGCCCGTGCACCACGATGACCGGCTTGTAGGGAGCGCGATGGGGCGCGGGGGCTGCGGGCAGCAGCAGCAGCGGCAGGAACGGCAACAGGAGCAGGATCCCCGCCGGGGGCAGCCGCAGCCCCCTGAGCCCCAGCATGCTCCCGCCTGAGAAGGGGGCGATGAGGGCCTGTGAGAGAGATGACAACACACCCTCCCCTCGAAGCAGACGCCTGGCATCAAGATCCCCCTCCCCGCCCGTGCTCACACTAGGTTCAGGTCACAAAACAGCCTACTTTTAACTTACTTCAAGGTTGTGGGGAAACACACACCCCTACACATTGACGCACGGACGCGCACCCGAAGCCCCGCCCCCAAATCTACGGGGACTCGGTCCCTAGGCCGAGGATCTTCTTAAGGCACCATCCCAGCCATGCACGACCCTGGGTTTTGCAAGAAAGACCCCCGAGCAGCAGCGCAGGCTTCTGGAGAATGCAAGCTCCCACCTGGCCTAGGTCCGTGAGCCTGGCTCCGCCAGCTGTTTACTTCTCCCTAGACTGGAACCCGCAAGGTGGGGGGAGGGGAAGGGTGTAAAGAGAGCTCGCGCAGGGGAATGACGGATGGGAGAGGGGAGGCTGCTAGGGGTCGCGCTTCGCCGTCACGTCCGGGGCTTTCCCTGGCAACCGTGCCCGCGTCCCCTGTAACGCAGGCCCAGGACTGGAGGGGCAATGGAACATTCCACTGCACTCCGCGAGCGGGGGGAGGAAAAAGAGAGCGATCCATTTTAGACTGGTGGGGAGAGGAAGAAGCATCAAACAAATCCTGGGAATCATGAGAAGGCCAGTTCTGGCCCTGCCAGGCACCAGCGACACCAGGGTCCGAATTCCTGGTCTCGATTCGCCCCACTTCCCAATTCAGGCGTCCGGCTCCGCTGCGGAACGTGAAGTTCCCCTGCCCCCGCGGGAGGTGGGAGGGCGCTGCGGAAAGGCAGTCCTCCGCATTTCGTCTCAGGCCACCGGATCAGGGCTGAAGCCAGCCCAAGCGGACCCCTCCCTATCCCCACCCGCCTGCCGGCAGGCCCCAGGTCAGCGTCTTACAACTCTTCATTATGAAGTGGGTGTAGTGCCCTTGTCTCCAGAGACGCGAAGAGTCCTCGAGGCCCCTCGAGCTAAAAGTGCAGCCTGGCCCAGTTTCTCCTGGCCTACTCTACTCCACTCCTGGTACACGACCCACCTCCAAGGGGCGGAGGGCCCCTGGGGCAGCGCTGACTCACGCGTGCGTGGTTTCCACCAGTCTTTCAACTTGAGAGACCCCCACAGTCGGCCCTTAGCCGGGAGTTCCTGTGTGCGGCTCCCGACGCAGACCTTCGAACCCCTTCCAGACTTCCGAGCTCCAGACGTCCCGCAACTCCGCCTTGATCCCTACCCGATACCTAGGTGGGCTTTTACTTAGCATTGAAAGACGCTTCCGTTGAGAAAAGGATTTCGAAGCTTGTCTGAATCCCTCCTGTTCACAAGGTCTTTGCCGGTCTAAAGTCTCTCAATAAAACCAATCTGTGCCCCGAGTTGTGTAGTGTGAGGATGGGGTGGCAGTGGGGGGTCGGGGGCTCAGGCAAACGCCTTGGAAACTGGAACAACCAGCTTGGGGCTGTGACCTAAATGTCTGGAGCTCTGTAGGCTCCACTTGGACGCGAGGGCGAGGACACAGCCCGGGAGGGCGACTGCCTCGGGTGGGGGTTGGGCAGTACTAATCTGAAGGTGGAGGTAGGGGAGGGTCCCCGACTGCGTTTTTGCAAAAAGCCCAACTCCTGTAAGTCTCGGTAGACGGCCTGTCTTCACCTCCCCTCCCCATATACGTGCCCCCAAGACACAATGAACAAATAAAAGACTGCAATTACTGCTGTGCCCTGAACCTCGCACTCCCGTCGACTCAGGAGGTGGCGTTGCGTCTTGGCAGAGGTGGTGGGTGGATGGGTGGGATTTTAAAAAATGGATCTGAACACTGAGGGGCCCAGGAACTCTAAGAAGCCCGATAATCAAGTGTGGAAAGAGCATATATTATCCCCCAAACTTACTCTCTGTCCTCCCACCCCCACCCCCCAACCGCAGGTCCAACTCCCCTGGAAATACTCTAGACCCAACCCCCCATTTTACCTGCAATTCACCCAGACCATAACCCTGGGAACTCTTTCAGGTCATCGCGGGTCTCAACTCTGCAGTTCTCTCTCACGCAGTTATCTTTCTTAAAGTGGGGGCAGCTAAGGCCAAGCATTGGGGAGAAGGTCCTGAGAACTTGCAGGGACTCTGAGGGAAGCTGAGGAGGGGGACATCTGACTAGGGTGAACCAGATCCGGTGGGGACTGGGGTATTGAATCCACCGAGCACCTGCTCACTTCCTCCCACAGTATAATCACTGTAGCCAGTCTTGGAGGGGAAGACTCTAGAGAGTTCTCCCCCCCCCCCCCCACTCCCTCCTTCCCTTAGTCCCACCCGCCTTGCCTGGTCTTGCTCGCCTCCCTGTTTCCATGACAACTCCAAGGGAGCCCAAACTGGGGGCCTGAATGCCGGGGTGAGAGGAGGAGAGACCTAGTGAGGGTACCTCGGAAACTCTCCCCCTCCCTCTCCTCGGCCCCTTTAAGCTCCCCCCCCCCTTCCCGGCTCTCCCTCCGCCCCCCGCCGCTGTCTTCATCTCTCCATCTCTGTGCTGCCGCCGCCACCGGCTGCGCAATCCGCACACCAAGACTCTGACGCCAGCCAGGGACCCCGACTCCCGCTGCAGACACCCTGTCCCAGCGACACCACAGGCATGTCATCGGAAAAGTCAGGTAAAAAACAACAACAAAACCTCCTGCCCTTTCCACCATCTCCAGACTCTCCCCCCATCCTTGGCCCCAACCCCCTCCCTCACCCCTCCGTTGGGGGGGGGGGTGATTCATTTCATTTCGGTCCAGCTTTCAACCCCCCCCATCCCCTTCTCTTTCTGTATTCCCCTCCTTCCTCTCCTTCCAATCTCAGCCTTGTCCCCTTGCCAACAACATGGAAAGGGGACAGGTTGAAAGGGTGAAGGAAGTACAAGAGTGGCTTAGCATCAGCCAGGTACTGCAGGGATAGCATCATTGGGAGTGACAGATGGACAGATGACACTGGCTCACATGGAGACATTCAGTGGGGAAATAATAAAAACATGATGAGATAGAGGTTGTCAGGGGAGTAGAATCCAGAAGACCCTTGTTCATCTGCCCTAAATGAGGTGCTGAGATTCCCAGAGAGGCTAGGGCACCCATCCCCAGTGCAAGAAGACAGAGTGGAATATGTCATCCTTCATGTGTTTATACAACTGTTGAATTGAGCACATGTTAACACAGTGTTGCATGTCTACACACGTGCACACACAGGACTAGCTCAGATGGGCAAGCCCAAGGCAGCCATAGCTTGGGTGTGCAGGTGAAAGCTGTGGGCACCGTTGCTGAAGGGGGAGATGAGCAGAGGAGGGTTTCCACTTCAAAACTAGATTGAAAGAAACAAGGGGGGTGGGCAGATGGCTTAGATACAACCCCTTTCCTGCCCCTAAGACCAAGAGATGGCTTCTCACCCATCTCCTCTGTCTCTCCCATTATCTTTCTCCATCCCTGGCCCTGTGTCTCCCCCTACCCCCTTATCTCTTCTCTGCCTGTCTTGCCTCTCTCCCCATACCCTCTCCTGTGCTCACTGCCCCCAGGCCTCTCAGACTCAGTCCCTCACACCTCTCCACCACCCTATAATGCCCCCCAGCCCCCGGCCGAGCCCCCTGCCCCACCCCCACAGGCAGCCCCTTCCTCTCACCATCACCACCACCACCACTACCACCAGTCCGGGACCGCCACCCTCCCGCGCTTGGGGGCAGGCGGCCTGGCTTCTTCCGTGGCCACTGGTCAGCGCGGTCCCTCATCCTCCGCCACCCTGCCGCGACCGCCACACCACGCTCCACCTGGCCCGGCCGCCGGGGCGCCCCCACCCGGCTGCGCTACCTTGCCCCGCATGCCACCCGACCCTTACCTGCAGGAGACTCGCTTCGAGGGCCCACTGCCCCCGCCGCCGCCGGCCGCCGCCGCCCCACCCCCGCCGGCGCCCTCCCATACGGCCCAGGCTCCGGGCTTCGTAGTGCCCACGCACACGGGGGCGGTAGGCACGCTGCCACTGGGGGGCTATGTAGCCCCCGGCTACCCCTTACAGCTGCAGCCTTGCACTGCCTACGTGCCGGTCTACCCAGTGGGCACGGTGAGTACAGGGCGGATGGGGCCTGGGAGGAAGGGGTGGGGACACACAGGGGGCTAGTGAGATAGAGAAACAGGGCCTGGGACCAGGCGGCGTTCCTAGGACAAGGCCTAGAGAGAGGAGGGACTAGGAAAGGTTTGGGAATGGGGGTCGGGGGGTTGAAGGGTCTGGTTGTCATTTGGGGTCAGAGAAGGGGAAGGGAGCTAGAAGTCCAGAGGAGGTTTGAAAGAAGGAAACAGCCTGGAGAGAGGGGGAGAAGAAACGAACCTGGGAACCATGGAGGAGGATGAGGGAGAGTAAACCTGGAACTGACTGAATAGGGAAGGCCAGGCAGATATTTGGAGAGAAGAAACGAGGTCTGAAGTGAGGCCAGGGCAGCCCTGGTGCGGCCATACCTTGGGAGAGGGAGTGTGGAGATCACCAAGAATATAGGGTTAATGACAGCAGTGAAGAGAGAAGAACCTAGTGGAATTTATGGGTGTCCTGGAAGGGTCGTGGATGATAAGTTTCTCTGAGAAGCAACGGGCAAGAATTGTGCTTTAAAAACCATCGTGCCAGACACAGAATGTTGGTGGGCTCAGAGACGATGGGAATGACATTCTCTCCCCCCAACCTTCTCTACACAGCCCTATACAGGCGGGACCCCGGGGGGGACGGGAGTAACCTCCACGCTCCCCCCGCCGCCCCAGGCCCCAGGGCTGGCCCTGCTAGAGCCGAGGCGCCCGCCGCACGACTACATGCCCATCGCGGTGCTGACCACCATCTGTTGCTTCTGGCCTACAGGCATCATCGCCATCTTCAAGGCAGTGCAGGTGGAAGTGGGGGAGAGGGCGGGCATCTGGGAAGGGAGCCCTCACCCGGTTTTTCTTATTCCAAGGGAGTGCCGAATGTTCTGGGAAGCATCTCAGAGGGAGCAGCAGCTCTGATCAGCTTTCTTCCGCCCGTCTCCCGCAGGTGCGCACGGCCTTGGCCCGCGGAGACATGGTGTCTGCCGAGATCGCTTCCCGCGAGGCCCGGAACTTCTCCTTCATCTCCCTAGCGGTGGGCATCGCAGCCATGGTGCTCTGTACCATCCTCACCGTAGTCATCATCATTGCCGCTCAGCACCATGAGAACTACTGGGATCCGTAAGGACGCACCCGGCCTGGCCCCGCCCCGCGCCCCTCAACCTCCCAAGCGCGTTCTGCAGCCACGCAGCGGATCCAGTGGGTGCCCCGCACACCTGCCTCTGGGGCCACCGAATTTCGATACATCCTAAACTCTGCCTCCACGGAACCTCTCGCCTTGCGGGCACGCTCCGAATCCAGTTCCTCAGGAACCCCGAAAAAACCCACACCCCCCCCCAGGGATGCCACTTTCCGGGATCCCCGCCAAATGCCGGGCCTTCAGTCACTCCAGTACCCCGCCGCCTCTAAATGCAGCGACCCCAGCGGAGCTCCTTGGGTCTCCGCTCGCAGCTGGGAGACCGGTCCCCAAAGCCCCGCCTCCTCCATAGGCTCCGCCCTGGCTCTGTCAAAACCCCGCCTCCAGGGCGGCAGGCTCCGCCTTCTTTTCCTTCCCCGCGAGGTGATTGCGTCCGGTGATTGGGTTGTGGCGCTAGGCCTCGCCCCCAGACTGACACACTCCTCCCCTTCTCCTGGCGCGGGGACCTAGCCCCGAGGTAGTCACGCCCCCACGCTCTCTCATTTTTGGTGGTACAGTTTTGTCTTCTCCACCCAGGTCTCTTACTATTTTCTTGCTAATCCCAGAACCTCTACTTTTGGTAATTTTGGAATGAGATTTCGGAGGTTCCCAGTTTAGGACCTTTCACCCCGGGATGACGAACGTCCCCGTTCTCTGTAAATATTCCCTTCCACCTATTCCAATCAGTGGGCAGCCGGGCAGAAGGTAACCCAGGGTAGGACCTCCCAACGTCAGGAGGAGCCAGCCCCGTTCCCCGCTCCCCTCGGCAGTCCCTACCTTGTTCTGATTTGTGCGTGAGTGTGTGTGTGAATTTCTGAAAGAATATTAAAGAGACTAAGTGGATTTATCACCCGCAATTCCGAAGACTGCCGCCTTACAAAGACCCTCCTCCTTTGGTTCCCTCTTTTACCTCCTCTTAGCTTCCCTTCCGAGGGAAAGAAAGATAAAAGAAAACTGACAGAGACAAATGTGGGAGGAGACAGATTCCCAAGACACCACAGAGACAGACACAATCATGGGAGGGGGGAGGGGAGGCTCCTTAGGAATCCTACCAGGGAAATCTGGTATGGGGTCCATTCTTGGTGGGGATTTCTTTCCCCCAGCACACATTTTTCACTTTCTATTAGACTGGGCTTAGGGCTTTGAAGAGAGGGAATTTGCAAGTAGACCCAAGTATCTATCCCAGAACTCCAGGAAATCGGGAGAAAAGGACAGACTATTCTAATAGGGTGACAGGGAAAAGATGCCAACTGCTTACAGCTGTTCCTGCCTTCAGGCTGGAGGGTGGTAAACAACTTGGATTAGAGCCCTGCATGGTATGTTGTACCTGCATGGGGAAGGCAAAGGGAGCAGAGTGCTATGGGAGGCCATCGCAGTCCACACAGGCTGCTAGAACAAAAATGCTATTGACTCGGTGACTTATAAGTAACAGAAATTTATTTTTCACAGTTCTGAAGGCTG